CTGCCTCCAGCTCCTGCCTCCAGCTCCTGCCTCCAGCTCCTGCCTCCGTGCTGCACAGTTGCCTCAGCCCTGGCTCAGGAAGGGGACAAGAAATTAGGGACATAAATTCCTATTCTGTGATGGGCAAAAAGACAAGCCCACAGGCTCTAACCAAATCTGGATCTTTCCAGAATTCAGGCGTTAATCTATAGGAAGATGATTAAGTCTTTCCAAATATCCAGATTTTAATCTCCCCAGTTCGTGAGGAGATAGAAGGCAGGTACAGTCCCTCTCTGCCAGGTGACCAGATCATGCATAACACACAGCTCTAGGAATCTCATCTATGACTTGAAGGCCCACTTCCAGACTTCACAGCTTCATCTCCTCCCCTGGGAGCTCCTGGGAAGCCTCCAGCTTTGAAGCTCACATCCACATATCAGCAGCCCTCCATCCAGGCTCCCTGGAGCGCCTGCCTGGCAGCCAAGGGCAGTCACCAGCTCACTGGCCACTGACTTGGCTCGTGTCTTGTCCCTAAATCACACATGCAGATGGGTTTAAACACATCAATTGATTTCCTAACCTCACATCTCCCTGTGAGCAGAGGCTGGAACAGTCATGTTACACAGGGGCAAACAGGAGAGGCATGGATTTGGGAACTGCTCCCAGACTGGTGAGGAGGGACAGGTCAACATCAGCTCCCCCCAATCCATGCTATCAAAAGCCAACTTTTACGGGCAGGGATTTGGCAGCCAGCGTGTAAAAAGAGCCTGTAGCCCACATCACAAAACACCATCACCACAAGTCACATCTCTTGGCCTCCACCAAGGCAGCAGCACATTAACTGGATCCCTCGGCACACAGGGGAAGCTTGTGCTGTTGCTGCTTCACCCTGGATAACGAGGGTTTTAATCTCAGGTTTGTCAACTTAGCACCTTGCCAGAACTAGGACTCATTTTTAGTATTAAAAAATAATGCATATTTATCAAACCCAGTCAGGCAGCAGGAGGGGGAGAACAGCTGGCAGCAGCCTCCCTCTCCCCATCTGACATGTGCTTGCCATTTTTCGCAGTTTCAACAGCTCTCCAGCTCTAGTCCTTATAATTACGATGAAAAACCCCTCACACTCAACCATAGTGCCTCGCAGCCAAGATGCCAATATGTTTCCACATAAAAGCCTCGTTCCAAAAAACCTAAAATTTCTCAGAGTCTCTGCTTTATTCCCATCCTCCCTTACATCATTGTATTCACATGGTGTTCAATTATTTACAAGCATACAAAACGCTCCAGCTTGGATTCTCGACTGGTATTAATCAGTGAAGTGCCAGCTAAATCAACGGAGCTACAAAGATTTGCTCCAGAGAAGGATCTATCCTGCTGTCCCTGAAGACCCCTTCTTCCCTTCACAGCACACACTGGGAAGGAGAGGATAAAACACAGCTTTGGTTGCAGTTTTTTTAATTCCCTAAGTTTTACACACACGCACACCCCAACATGTTAATGCCCACAAAGACCTGCTCCCCACTGCTGACCTACTTTCCATTCACGTGCATTCAACACAATGGCCTCCCATGGCAGCCCCAGGTATCCCTGGAAGCAGCCATCCACACCTTACCCAGAGCCCTGTGACAACACCAAGAGCCCTGTGCATGGGACAGGCCCCTGGCTGTTAGGAGAACATTCTCAAGTTAATTACAGGTAAGGCTTTATGATAATTCAGCCAGGCCTGATACTCCCTTGGACTGGTGCAGCATCATCTGTCTCCAGTTCCTTCCTTTCCCATGGCACCACTTCCAAAGAGGCCCAAAGGTAGAGAGTGGTGAGCACAGAGGGCTCACAGGCAGGATGCTCTCCTTCGGTGATGGTTGATCATTGCTAGCTTTCCAGACTCCATCTTTTTAATTCAATGAGACCAACAGAGCCCAAATCACACATCAGAGAGGCCAAATCATTGGGATAGGCATAGGATATTCCTCTATAGCTGTGGGACAATCTTCAATCAAATGAAGCTTTTTAGGGTGGATAAATCTCCACAGACAACTAAGCCTTCCACAAGACCAGGGCCAGCACAACCAATCCTTCAGTAAGTCTCTTTATCACGACTTCGTGATCATACTAAAAGCAGAAACTGACTTTTGAAGGACATTTTGTTATTTACACCTTTACTTTGAATCAGAAAGTGAGGAGTCCATGAGAATATAATATGAGTGTAAAGAAAAGGTCTGGTCCCTTGAGAGCACAGACAGACTGGAGAATGGTGTGTGAAACCCTGGGGCACTGGGCACCTCATTAGAAGATAGGAGTTTAATTGTACTCCTATTACCATCCCTAGTTCACAAACTGGGGCCTCTCCACTCAAAACCAGAAGGCCAAGGAAGTGCAGGAGACAGACACCAGGCTGGGTCTCACTGCACTGAGCACAGCTTACTCATCCCTCGTGTACCAGCACCACAGCAGAGATGTCACAACGCCTTCATCATGACTGGAATCATAATATCCATGATTCACATGGAATGCTTTTTATACAAAGCATCAAGATAAAAATAAAATGAAGAGGGAAAAACTGAACAAGAAACTTGTTTCGTTCCCTACAAGATGGATAAACCAAGACGAATGTAAACAGCTCAACTTGACCCAAATATTTTTTCGTTGCTGGGTAACCCCACAAAAAAATGTTGTTATCTCACTAGCATCTGTGGAGATTAGATGGAATGGAACTTTAAACAAACGTTCACTGTCATCCCTTGTTTGAGGAATTTCAGCCTGGACACAACTCTTGGGACTGCTGCTCTTGCAGCACCCCAATCCCTTTCCAGAGGGAGCAAACAGCTGAGGAGGGCAGGAGGCATCTGTAATATCTCCAACACATGGACATGCTGTTGACATGAAGGTTTACGTGAAACATTTGGGTTTACATGAAACATTTGGGTTTACAGCTTTCCAAACTCTTCCAAGAGAACGATGGGGCTGCTCTGGGAAGGCTCCGAGCAGGAATCACAGGCTCAGGCCTTGCCTGCAGCAGGAGGTGGGAGGAGGGGTAGTCACAGCAGATGGCTGTGAGCCATTTTGGGTGGCAGTAGGCACCCGCCGAGGGGCTCAGACTTCACAACCCACACTGGCTGCCATATGTTGCGACAGTGGCTCATCATCACACAGGACCCAATTTATAGCGCCTTTCATGGCTGAAAGTACCACACTACCTCTCACTGCCCTCCATTAGTACAGTCATCTTTCCACCAAGCATCTTCTAGTACCTCGCTATCACATTTACTGGTTTTTTTTCCATGTTTCTGTAGGTGGAGGGAGATCTGATAGATCATCTGAGAGATTCAGGTACGAGGTTTTAGTCTCATTTGTGCTCCGGAGGTCAGGCCTGCTTGCTCCTTTACTCCCTCCCAACAGATAAGCACTATCTCAACAACACACAGATGCTATTAGAGATCACCTTGGCCACTGCTAAAGCTGTGGCAGCATTCCTGCTGAGTGCATCCCTGAGTTGGAAGCATGTGGCAAGCAAGGCTGTGCCTGTGACACTGGGAGTTCGGCACAGGTAAGGTGGGAGATTATAGCTCTGAAAATAGCAGTACTTCCAGCAACAGCAGGCTTCCCTGTTGAATTCCTCCTGGAGAAACTCAGGGAAATGAGAGCAGCAGGGAGAGAAAGCTCGGGAAGTGGCAGGATGGAAATCAGGCTTCCATCAGCCAGGGCTCAGAGGGAGAGGGTGCCACTGGTACCTGGCAATAGGCTGCACTGACACAGTGTGCACGAGGGACAGAGTGAAGGTACAGTATTGCTGTGCTCTTTGTGCTCGTGTTATACAGCAGCAGCAACATAACCCCAGTGCTGGGGCATCGTGGCGGGGCAACCCTGCAGCCCAGGGAGCTCCAGAGATGGGGACAGTAGGATGCCTTAGCCCAGCCTGAGAGCAGGGCCTCAGGTCCCCAGGATGGGGGAGTCTCTCACACCTCTGGAGGACCCTTTGTACAACATGACAGTCTGCTCAAAATACGCAGTGTCAGTCACACACAAGTTCCTGGGCTGGACCTTCTGCCCCATGAGAGCAATAAGTGTGGTCCGATCACCATCCTGTCACCAAAAGGAGCAGAGCACCCTGAACCTCTGGTTTACATCCCACCTGGGTCAGCCCAGCTGCCAAACTAAAGGCTCAGACAATTTGCTCTGTAAGGGTCCTTAAAATATCAACTCAGCACAAGCATTACAGCTCCCACCAGGCTCTGAGGGAGGACAGTCATCCACACTTGTGCTAGGCAATGGCAGTTGCACCTCCTGGATTTATGGAGAAGCTGGGATATTTTTAACATTTTGAAAGAAACAGCCACACAGTGTTGGTTATTTTAACTCACTACAGTCCACACACCCAGGCCAGCCCTACATGTCCATTTGCTGGTGCCCAAGCCCTCCCTCCACAGCAACTGCTGGCTCTGGCCTGGTTTTGTCTCCCAGCTCACAGCAGTTGCATTTTAATCCTCAGGTGATGCATCTCCTCTCCAGGCACAGCCAGAGAGCTTCCTGAAGGAAGCAATTACAGAAACTGAGCTCACCCAAACAATTAAAAAAGCTGAGATATATGTCAAAGCTTCAGGTTTTCCCTCTACTACACCTAGAACCTGTATCAGACTAAAATGCACCAGTGGGAGCAGACTTTACCCTTCTCCAGGTGCTGCCTGAGCCTCCACCCACGCTCCAATTCACCAAGGAAGTCAGCACAGCCCAGCTATCTTATTTAGTCTGAATCAACCAGTTCCATAAAGGAAGTGGTATTGGTTACACCACTGCAGACTGGAGCCTGGGAGCACAATTTTCAGCCCTGGAAATCAGAGACTTCTGTCTGCTCACAGCCTGCTAAAAAGCTGTGTTCCTCCTGCCCTACCTGACAGCTACACACACAGCCAGCTCCATAATCCCCAGCAAAGCACATCTCAGCTGCAACTTAATCTGAACTTCTACTTCAGCTCTCACCGACAGCTCAAGTGAAAATGAAAAGCAACTGATAAAGGAAAACCCACAAAGTGCAGCAGGTGGTGAGGGGGCCAGAGGCAGGGAATGTGACTGGAAGGAGCAATGCACTGCTAGGTCTGTGCTGGCAAACATTAATTGCTTTTCAAGTATTCCAGTGCTTTCCTTCCCCAGTGGCTGCGGAGTTTCTGCTCCCTCTCCAGTAACTAAGGAAGAGAGGAAAATCCAGAGTGTATGAGAAGACCAAGCCCAGGAACTGAGCATTCACAAAGTGACCCTACAGTGGACAACAAGAAGCTTCAGTGACCCTGAATGAAGCTGCTGATGTTTCTTTTGAGCACCATTGCAGAGCAAATCTACCAGGTCACCTCAGCCTTCTCTGGGGGAATCTGAACTACTTGAATTTCTACTCAAGTGCATGATTTGCTTCTGATCAGAGATATGGGTAGGAAAAAACATAAATAAAGCAAGCACAGCCCAGATGTTTTGCCCCAGATTCAGCTGTATTTCTGGGGCTCTAAAGAACAGAGGAATGACCTTCTCCTCTGTCCTGCTGCCCCCATGCCCCTGGATCCAGTCACTTCCAGCTCTCAGAGATGAGCCCCCCTGCCAGTCAGCACATCTCCTGCTATCAACACCCTCATTACAAAGCTGGCTTTGTGCATCCCTCTGCTGCTTTGTGACCTGGAGAGGCCAGGACTGGTAAAGCACAACCACCACCAGGTACCACTCCTCAGCTGTCACAAGCATCATCTACAAGTGTACCCATCCCCTACAACCCCTCCCTACAACAGTCCTGAGCCAGCACCAGGCTTCAGGTTCAGACCCTCAACCCTTCAGCAGATCCCCTCTGTGAGAATCTCACCCAGCATCACACACATATGATCCCACAGCAGCCACAGAAGAGTAAGTTAATAACCCGTCTTAGTTAAACCTTCCTCCAAGTGGGCAGGAATTGGTGCTGCCATTTTTGCTGGCGTTGTCATGAGTGACTTTCCAGCACTGTAATGCTTTTTATGAGATCTTAGAGGAAAGGGACTAAGGAAATGGCATCTCATCCTGCCTTTCCATAGCCAAGTCTCATCATGAGAGAAGGGAAAAAGAAGCATCATCATTTTTAATGCAGGAGAAAGTAATTGCTGCTACAGCAGCACAAACAAGCTCACCTTCCACTCAGCACAGCTGGTCAGCACCCCAAGGGCTGCTGTAGTGTGGGATGATCTGGGACTGAATACTGTCATTGCCTGCAAGGAGACAACCAGGATGTTGTGAACAAGGGGGGACTGAACCCCAGATCACTTTTCCAAAAGAAGAGCGAAAAGCAAGTCCCCTGAGGCCTGTGACAGCACCACATCCATGGCCACCGTGCAATCAAGCCACTAGGGTGTGACAAAACACCACCAAGGGGACGTGAACAAACACCCACCCCATCACCACAGGGGTGCTGAGGAGCAACAAGCCATTTGGGGTCCAGGAGAGACACTTCAGGGGCAGTGGCCAACAACACAAGGCATGTACTGCAGATAGGAAGCTGTCGTACCTTCATACACACTGCCCTGTTTCCCTGAAGACCCAATTCCAAGCCCTCCAAAAATCAATGAGATAACAAGGAGATGAGTTGCAGCCAATATGGATTTGTCAAGAGCAAATCACATCAAGCCCATCTATCTCCTGCCTGTACAACAGGCTTCCAGCAGAGCACTCCCTGTCAGACACCTCCACTCCAGGAAGGCTTTTGATGCTGCCCAGTCTGCCGTTCCCACAAGCAAGGAGGATGTGGGCTGAAGAGAAACAGCAACAAGGCAGGCATAAAACTGCTCAGAGAGATGGGTAAAGGGCAGGTATAAGTTGTCTCCTCTGCTACAAAGGAAGAGCATGTTGACAAACAGGATTTTGTAGGTGCCTGTCACATACCCACCATCTTCAGAGCTTCTGCTACTGGCCCGGATGAAGGAGCAAAAAGGAAACTTATTAAATTCACAGGCATCAGGAAGGTGGAAAGAACTGCAAATTCTTTTAGAAAACAGGACTAGATGTTAGTATCTCAAGGAATCATCCTTTTTTTTCCCCAGGCAGATACAATGGACAGGTTTTTCTCTCCAGCAGGAATAATCAGCTGTCCAAGAACAAGCGTCCAAATAGAAAGAACAAGTTTTCAGGGACTCGCTTCACTACTCTTGCCTATCAAGGGCTACTGATGCTACAAGGACCTGTGGCCTCTTGCTCTTAACCCTATGACAGTACTGTGTAGGGTTCAAGACAGACTAGCAGCATGTTGCATTAGGCAGACATCTACTCAGAGATCTCTTTCCTAGCAGCTTGCAAACAGAATCAGTATCAAGCCCAAAGGCCCTGAACGGGATCAGAAAACATGAATTCCCACTCCCAGGCTGCTCTTTATCTGCTGCATCACTGTCACCTTGTTGCAACTGGCACATCGACTGTCTCTTCCGAGAGCTGCTTTCAGCAGGAAAGGTGCTCCTGTGCCAGCAGCACATCATGCTAATGCTGACAGCCAAGTACACGCTACATCTGACTGCTGTGCACACCATATATGTTTCATAAAGTTGTCTCAACTGCCTGCTCAGACCCTCCCCATAACAAACTGCACCTGATTCTGCTGCCAAGTGACCTTCCCCTTCCCCTGTGACGACTCACACTGTTTTAACCTGTACCCTCCGCAAGACAAGGACTTCCCATCTCCAGTTCAGTTTGTCACTAGAAGAAAGCAAAGCACAGGTGCCTGCAAAAATAATGAGCCAGCATCTCCAGATGTGGCTCTTTTTATGGAAAACCATGGCCAAGCCCCTGCAATGAGCTACATTTGTGGCCTGCAGGGAAGAGACACTTGAAGCCATTCTCAGCATGAGAGGGCTTTCCCCTTTGACCATATATTTGGGTTATCTCAGTGTGAGCTGCTGGGGAACTGGACCTTGCAGCCTTGGGAACTCTGATGTTCCAGATAAGTTCATTCACTGCCAGAACAAGAAAGCAGAGTTTCCAAATAAGTGACATTTCCTTTCTTTAGCAGCCAATTGCAGGGAAGACTGTGAAGTAGTAGTGGATTGATCAGGCTCCTATGGAGGTGACTAATGGGAAGATGATCCAACAGCTACTGCAGACGACTAGATGGCATTGCCCCCCACAGCTGCCTTTGTAGAGACACCTCCCTCACATGTAATGAGGGAATCCTTGTACCACACTCACCCTGTCTACATCTCCCAGGGACATATTTTTGCCATGTGCTCCAAGAACGGGAAGCAAACACTTGAAATAAAAGCAGAAGAATCAGGTCATGGAAGGAAAGTCAGCATCACACTTCAGGTTCAGAAGCACCCAGTCAGCTGGCAAAATCCTCTCCACTGGTGTGGATGTGAGCAATGGGTATTGACAAGGCAGATTACACAGAGCATCACCCAGACCGCAGGCTTTTAGCACCCTGTGGAGCATGATTGAATGCAGTCTTATCCCCCCAAAATAAAGCCTGAAATAAAACGTTGCAGCAGAAATTATAGTGAGACTTGGGGTCATCCCAAGGCAGGTCTCTTCATGGTGAGGGGCAAGACAACCCATGCATCAGGAACTTAACCAAATTTAAAGAAAGGTCACGAGGAGAGACAAAGAGGATGAACTGGCGTGTGTTTATGAGCCGGCACAAAAGACAGGAGCAAGATCAAGCTGTAAAAGCAAGGCATTAGCACCTCTCTAATCAGCATAAATCTGTGAGGATCTGCCATCTCTCTCACCAGCACTTACTGCGGTTTCTCTCCTGAAGGATGGGCTATCCAGGTACACCTGTACACACTCCTTCAAACTAAGAGCTCACAGCATCTGACAGCCTTGGAGCAGTGAGGTGAGGCTCCACAGCCTGCCATTGCATTTTCCATTCAGGAGAGCTTGGGCATCATTAACACTGCTAAAAAGCCTCTGAAGTTTAAAGCAGGACTGTCATGGCTTCTGTCAGTCACACAGATGCCAATGCCACAAGGGTGCCCTAGAACTTAGACAAGGTCAGCTGGGAGCTGAATAGAAGATACAAGCTGTGTAAATTCACCTCAGAAATGGCCCTGAGCACTGGAAGTCAGGGGTTAGTGTGCCACTGGCAAGTCTGTTCAGTTCTTAGGTTCCTCACACCCCTTGCTGCCATTAAGTTACTATGTCAGGGCACCTGTGATCCACACGATTAACACCAGGATGTCAGCTCATCCCCACCTGAGAACAGCAGCACAGCCACAGTTATTCATGCCTTTTGCCACCTCTCAGCTAGACCGCAGCAGTATGACAGCCCTGCAGCATGTAAGAAGCTGTATCCAAAATATGCTCTGCACCCCAAGTGCTCTGTCATCTCGTCACCACACCCACACCAAGCTGGTCCCCTGCCTCCCAGCTCCTGATCCAGAGATCCAGCAGAAACCTAACTCAAGGCTTTGGCCCTCATGTCCCTGCAGCCTCAGCAGCAGCTAAGGCTGCTTCCCAGGGTGGAGTCCTGGGCATGACACATGGATCACCAGCAGATACCAAGGGCTGATCCCATCCATCCACAGTAGAACCTCTTCATCCCTTGAGCTGTCACTGCCCACGGAGCACAGGTTATCAGACAGATCTCCTGCAAAAACAGCTGGGTCTCTTTGTGCTACCTGGTCCGACAGAAATGCACCGTGATATGTGGATTTAAAGGAAATACTCTAGAACATGACTTTCCACTGCAGGCATTTTACCCCTGGAACAACACTGAAATATCCAGACCCTGAGAGATGCAGACACGTTCACTGTCATGCATGACTCAAATATCTCAGTTATACACCCTCAGAGCACAGGAAGATCTGTCTGCAGCCCACGCTAATGGAGGAGAGTTTAGGAATTCTCAGTCAGCCTGCTCAGCCATATCAAATTAGCTTGGGAGTTGTTTGGTTCCTTTGGAACAGGACTGGGACAGGTTATTTGGAACAGGACAGGTATTACAGACATGAAAGAGAGAGGTGAGCTCTGCACTGCAAGCAGTGATTATCATGGCATGAAGTGACACAAAAATATGGTGTTTGAGCCTCTGCTGAGCTCATACAGTTCTCTTAAGGCTTCCCTCCATCATCTGTAAAGACAAGGATAACTTGGCTCACCCATCAAATTCCTATTTACATCACCTAAAAAGAATAAAGGTCTAGTCCCATGAGGTTCTGATTCACTCTGGTGCCTTATTCTTTTAAGACAAGTTAATGGGAGCTGTGATACAAAGCAATCCACCTTGTTTGGATGTGCTGGAAGAGATGACTTATGAAGAAAGGCAGCCTCAACACCTCACCTTGCAGACTCCCAAACATTGCTATGGGCCTTTTCTCTACCTGCCTCTGCCAATTTTCACCATGAGCTGTACTACATTATTATCACCTCTCTAAGGTTCCTCCTCATGCTCCAAGCTCATCCCAGACTGCTTAAATGCCAGCCGGTGCAGGCAGAGAGCCATTAGCACTGCAGTG